GTAGAGCTGCAGGCTCTGGGACAGATGGAGTAAATACAACAAATCTAGAAAAGAAGGCAAAGGAGTTTTTTGGGGGGAGGGAAAGGCCTGTTGAAAGTGCGCCTGAACTGACATGTCACATCCAAGCTGAGATGGTATCCAAGTTGTGTCTTGAAGAAAGCTAGGAGTCTAAGATGTAGAGTTCAGCAAGGGGTACGTCCTACATGTGGGGGATCGCCTGTGCAGAGGCATTGAGGCTAGCGTTAGATGTAGTAAGAGAGTATTTTACTCCTGACATTAAGAAATGTATTGATGAAAAATGCTATCAACATCCGGAGAAAGAACTATGGAGTTTGAACACAGATTGAAGCATACCGTTTTTCTTTTTTGTTTCTTCTTTCTTGTGGTTTTCCCTATTGGTTCTAATACTTTACAACATGACTAATGTAGAAATATATTTAATATGATTGTACATGTATAGCCTATATCAGATTGCATGCCATCTTGGGGAGGGGGGAGTGGAGGGAGGGGGAGAAAATTTGGAACTTAAAATCTTACGGAAGTGAATGTTGAAAACTAAAAAAAACAAAACAAAAAGAAATGTATTATCAAGATTAGGCCCAGTTGGCATTGCTTTTGTCAGAAGAACCTGCTCATACATTAGATGGAAAAACGAAGAAGTCATTGAGTGATCTGCTGTGCAACTGGGCTCTCTGCCTGCCCCGCCACCATTTCTCATATGTACATGTGTGTGTATGTGTATCTCATTCTGCACCCTGAGTCCACCTCTCTGTCAATAGGTGAGTAGCACCAATTGATTATCATTGGTCCTCTAGAATCAGGGTTGAACACTGTATTGATCAGATTTCTTATGGCTTTCAAAGTTTTTTGTTTTTACAATGGTGTTATATAAGTTGTTCTCCTGGTTCTACTCACTTCACTTTGTATTAGTTCATACAAGTTTTCCCAGGTTTCTCTGAAACCTTCATCATTTGATCCCTTTGATCATCAGATTATCCCATCATCATTTAGGGGTTTTGGGGAGAATGCAACTGACTCCATTTTGTGCTATATTTGCTGTTATTATATTTCTTTTTCTGTGTGACACTAAATGTACTGTCTCCTTCAGTACCTCTCTTCCCTCAGTTAACTGTAAAGTAACAAAAGAAGGACTCATAGGACTTTGAATAATTCCAGGAATTCACCCACTTCTCTTTATTCTATCTAATAAGACACATTGTAGAAGCTTAACACAAGTTAATTAACTAACTAATAAGGAAGATACAATTTTCTTTGCTCTGTTGTGAAGAGCTATGCTAAAGGCCTTTTTTTTTTAACAGTTTAAGCATCCTTTTTCTTTTACTAAAAACATACTGTTTACACATCCTACCTAATCTTACTCAAAACTGCTTTGACCTACCTGATCTCTCCTCAGACAACATATAATTGTGTGTGTATGTCTGTGTGTGTATGTGTGTTTCTGTCTGTGTGTGTGATCTCTGGAATTGTGAAACACAAATGTCCATCACCTTTTATTGGTGTTTATCACACTCATGAATGGATAAACTATAGTGTACCTGTCTGTAACCTCTGCTGTCTTATTTGTGCAGTGGTTAGCACGAACCATGAAAATTCTTGCCATAGGCAGCTAGGTTGTATTGGGTAGAGTATTCCTTATGAAGACTGGAAGACCTGAATTTAGATCCAGCTTCAGATACTTATTAGTTGTGTGGTCCTGGGCAAGTCACCTAACCTCTATGTGCCTCAGTTTCCTCATTTGTAAGAAAATAGTGGCACCTATTGCAGGTGTGGTGTTGTTGTGAGGAAAAAATGAGTTAACATATGCAAAGTTCTTTGAAAACACAAAAATGCTATATAAACGTTAGCGATTATTATTGCTATTATTATTTCTTAATGCATTGTAGTATTGATTCATATACCCTAATTTGTTCAGCCATTCCTCAATTGATGGGTAACCCTTTAGTTTCCAGTTCTTTGCTACAACAAAAAGGGCTATTTTTGCACGTTTTTGTACCTCCTTTTCCTCTTTTTTTAAAAAAAAAATTTCAGAGTATAGTAGCAGTAGTAGTATTTGTACTAGTAACAGTAGTAGTTGTTGTTGTTGTAGCCTATTGATAAATAGTCTAAGGATATACATACATAGTTTTCCTAGAAAGGAATCCAAGCTGTGAATAGCCACATGACAAACAAATGTTCCAAAGCAATAATAGAGAAATGCAAATTAAAGCAGTTCTAAAGTTCCACATCCTACCCATCAGATTGGCAAAATTGGTCAAAAAAAAAAGGGGAGAAAATTACAAATGTTGAAGATTTTGTGGAAAAACCAGCACATAGATCCACTATTGATGAAATGGTAGATTGGTTCAGCCATTCTGGAAAGTAGTAGTAGTAATTGTGGTAGTGGTAGGAGTAGAAATACCCAAGCTATGTTTTTCTTTGAGGTTTTACATGTAGATGCTTTAGAGTTATTCTCTTCTGTTTGCGTCTTCAATGTCCCTGTCATCCTGTTAGCTTTTGATGGTGGGATTTTTTTTTTTTTGTTGTTGTTGTTTGTTGTGCTTCTAGCCTCTTTTCTGATTTTGGAGGTTTAGGGCCAATCTCTGCTGTACTACTGGAGGGAAGGTTTGGGAGCCTTGGACTGGCTGGCTTCTGAGATTGTTTGCAACTCAAATCCTGTGATTCTGAATTATCATAGTTATAAGCTATTGGTTTGTCCCTTTTTTAGTCTTGATATGTTCAAGGGTGATGAGCCCAGAATACAAGAAGAAAAGGACGATTCTTTTCTTCTTTTTTCTGTGCTAGCTATGGAGTAGGGACCTTCCAGTTCTGGGCCAGATTTGGTCATGGATTCCATTTGACCACTGGTAGATTTTTAAAAATCAATTGTGCCTACTGAGTGACTTGTTCTTAGTTGTTAAAACCTATTTGTGTCTATATAACTGAAAAAAAAAATCTGGTTTTAAAAGTCATTGGTAGAGATAACCTTAACATAACCAAGATAGTTATATTTCAAAACTTCTCTATGGAAAAGCAACTATGTAATAGTAATTAAAAGTAAGTAACCTTAAAGTACACTGGTAGAGGGAAAACCAAAAATTCCATTATTAGTAATTTGAAAAAAGGTAATTACAGCAGAGTACTGGCATTTTAGTTAGGAAAAAAATCTAGAAAAAAAAATTGAGGTCATCATTATTCCCTTCATTCACCTTGTGCTTTAAAGTAGATTTTCTGTAGACATACCTGATATTTTCCTATCTCTTTGTTTTTGTTCACAACCCTTCCTCCCTGTGGAGTGATCATTTGCTCCACCACCCAATCTGCCAGTCAGAGTCCTGATTATCCTTTAAGCTCTCTCAAATGCTGCTTCCTTCACGAAAGTTTTTTGTGGTTCTTCTGCTTCCCAATTTCTTTTATACCATTTGTAGTAGATATGCAGGTTAGCTCTTCCTGTATTATTCATAGCCATACTCTGGATTCATGCCAAGAAAGCATCTGTTATAGATATGCGGGAACATGTGGTCCATGATAAGACATATAGATAGATGCTGGGCATACTGTACCTGGAGAGGCCTGAAAATTCTTGTGGTTTCTATGGGGAATCACTTCTACCATGGTGGTAGTGCTAGAAAGATGAGAAAATGGTTAACCTAATCACAAGGGAAGAAACAAACATTTAGACCTTGCCCTTGCTAGTACTAGGAAGAGAGGCCCAGCTGGGAAAGATGTACCAAAGAGCAAAAAGGCAGAGCCACAAATATCAGGGAGGATTAGAAACCCACGGACCTTGCTTTTGCGAGGTACTACAGCTTACGCTGACAGGGAGCCAAGTGCACTCAGGAGCAATTCAGCCCTATTTCATTCATACTGCGAGTCATGTGAACTGTATAGGTTCAGAGGGAAACTGGAATCCGTCAGACAAGAGGATTCCTTTTGGAAAAGGGAGGAGAGACTTCCTAACAGTCAGGGAACTTGGTTAGGAGCCCACTTTGTGTTATTGTTAGGTTAATTAAAATTTATTCCACGTGTGATGTCTTCTTAGCTTGAATGCTTAAAGGGGACCAGAAGGGACAGCTAGGTGGCAGAGTGGAAAGAGCACTGGCCCTGGAGTCAGAAGGACTCGAGTTCAGATATGACCTCAGACACTTACTAGCTGTGTGACCCTGGGCAAGTCACTTAACCCCAGCTCCTCAGAAAAATAAATAAAAGGGGACCAGTGTCATTTTGAGGAGAAAACAGTGAGAGATATAATGATATTCCTAGGAAAGCTTGGGGTAGGTATATGAGCTAATTTGTGTGTGCTTTGTGTGTACATGCAAGTCAGATAGTGACATTCTTATACATGAACTAGTGGTATTATATGAGAGATGCCTCCCAAATTGTACCCAGATCTCTTGTCAGGGCTTAGGATTCCAATAACACATGCATTATGTAATTATCATATTCTACCTCATACCATGTTTATTTGTGAATATTCTATCTCTTTCCTGGAGTAAATAATTATAATAGCTGGCATTTATATAATGCCTCCTAGTGCCAGGCACTGTGCTAGGAGCTTTACAAATACTATCTCATTTTATCCCAACAACAACCCTGCAAGGTAGGTGCTGTTACTATCCCCATTTCACAGTTGGGGAATCTGAGGCAGAGGTTAAATGACTTGCCAAAGCTCATACAGCTGGTAAGTGTCTGAGGCTGGATTTGACTCTGACTCCAGGCCCAGTGCTCTATCCACTACACCACCTAGCTGCCTCAAAGATAGGAAATGTATCTTGAATAAGTTCTTTGAAGACAAGGGCCTGTTATTTTGAATCTTTTATTAAAAGATAATAAAAATGATAAATGTATGATAACATAGATCTATCAGACATAAGTGTTAACAATTAGAGTTTAAGAAGTAGGAAGGATTAAAGATGTAGACCTATTTTAGAGTAACTGAGGAAAAATATATTGCTACTTTTGGCTACTGACAACTGGATCATGTGGACAACTTTCAAAGCAGATTGTTTAAAATAAGCTGATTTTATTAATTTTAAAGTACAGAAGTTTTAATTAGTCTGTTAAGAACTCACAAATCATTATAATCTATTTTCATAAAGTCTTGAAAATAAAAAGTTAGATGAATTATAATTACAGTGAATACTCTAAATATAGATTGTGGAATTCTTATGTTTTTGATAATGGAGCAGATATGATGTTAATTATTTGTAGCTAGTTTCTTTTTCAATATTCTTCCTCAGTCAAAGCTTCAGATTATTTATTCTTTATTCACTAGCATGAAACTAGAGATTAGCTTTCCATTTCTTTTCAGGAGTCATTGTGCTTGCTGTGAAAAGACAGAGAATAGAAATTTATTAAACTAACTTAAAGATATGTTATTTACAAAATAATGTTTTATGCCTCATGTGAAAACCTGCATCATTTTGTAGATATAGATAATATTGAAACTTCTCTAGAAAGTGTTTTAAGACTTTTCAATTCATGAAGAATCACAAAGTAATGTTTCATAGATTAGTACTTAGAAAGCAGTCTTTCATAGATTACTGAGACTTCCATAAATATCACGGAATTGTTTTAATAGATTAATTTCATTTTTAGCAAATAAATACCAGAGTAACCATTTCACTATTTCCTGGGTAACTAAGGCTTGTTCCCAATTATTTTCAGAAAACATACCTTCTGTGACCTAGGATAGATTAGTAACTGAAGATATCCTTCTGTGGCTGACCTGGTTCTCTAATGTAATAGGACCAATAATAACAACTTAATATTATATAGTGCTGACTTTGTGCCAGTCACTGTGCTAAGCAAATATCTCATCCGATCCTCATAACAACCCTGAGAGTTGGGTGCTATTATTATTTCTATTTTACAGTTGAGGAAACCGAGGCAGAGTGACTTGCCAAAGGTTACACAGCTAGTAAGTGTCTGAGTCTGGATTTGAACTTGTGTTCCCAACTTCTGGCCCAGTGCTCTATATATGGCACGGCCTAGCTGCCTCAAAAAACCAGTAAGAATGACTTTGATTCTTTGTAAGACTTTGTTTCCCCCAGACAAATATACACACACACTCTCAGTCTCCCTCTGTGTTCCCTCCCTCCCCTGTATTTTTCTGGGTCTGTGCAACTGGCCAGTTCTACCATCTGTGCCTCTGACATATAATAGGTTGGCCAGAGGGTTAGAAGTTGGATTTCGGAAAGAACTGGGTTGAGTGAACTCACTTTACTTTTTCTACACCAGCAAGTGATAAAAAAACTGTGGAAATACTGACAGAATATTAAAAAATAGAGTAGAATTACACTTTTAGAGAATACTTACACAGTTTTCCATCTTTTTCTAATTTGTTCAAATGAAGGGAGAGGTTAATACTAGCTGCTTTATATAAATGCTCAGGAGTTTTCTAATAGGAAACAAAAGTGGTAGAAAAATATTACTTTTGCAAACCCATTAGGTATATTTTATAAAACCTCTTAGGAACAATGTGATATAGAGAAAAGTTTTATCTGGAGATGCTACTACAGTGACATGAATGTATTTCACATTGTTAAGCTTTCTGTTTTAGGCTGACATATTCAACCCCTAAAGTATTGTTTTTGAGTAGTCTTGATCATAGAGAAGGACATCCATCTATACATGAAAATATCTTTGCACACTTTTATATTTAATAAGTACCTGAGACTCAAATTTTACACTTAAATTTTTTGATAGGATCTAATATTTAATAACCACCTAACTGTGATTGGTGAGCATTAACAAAGAATGAGTTATATATCTGCTTAGCATCTATCACAATTCCTGGCACACAGGTGAATAAATGAAAGTATTAATGTTTTCTCTATTATGGGGTGGGGGGCTTGTGCTCCCCGTAAGTAGGAAAGCTACAGAAAAAAAGTGACTCGAATATAATCAGAGAAAGGGGTGGTAGGATAAAAGGGAGAAGGCATAGGGTCACAGAAACACATTCACAAATGCAGACATACCCACAAAGAGAGATTGGAGGAACAGAAGAGAACATGCTGGTATTTTACAGAAATGGCAAGATAATAAATTAATAACAGAGAAAAATTAATTTATCCACCTAGGTGAACGCAGAAGGAACTGAGAAGCCTAAAAGTAGGATTTGTGTGGATCAGTGATTTCATTAATCTTCTTAAGTATAAACACTTCCTCTAGGCATGCAGATTGCAACCCAATCACTGTCTCTCATCCTGTACAACTCTTGTCTTAGAGGTCTCCATTTTCTCCAGACTGAGTACCAGAACAGGGATGTACGGAATGTTTTGGGAGGATGAGCACCTTTGTTGGCAGGGTTTGCCAAGCCCTTGTCAGGGCTGCTCATCCACTACTTTAGTGTCCACCTGTCATCCAACTCTCACCTGTGACTCCCATAAGCTGTAGCATGTGAAGCAGTCACACCCTAGTAAAACCATCTTGGCAGATGGGCTAAACCAGGTTGAGAGGGAATATCTAACCCAAGCAATGCGAAGACTTCCCCCCAGTAGAAGGGGCAGATGAGAACAACTTGTTCCAATGGTTGTGGAGCCCTTAGAGCTCGGTCAGACATGGAAGACATCAAACACCAAGGTCGTTCACTGCATCCCCAGGCCATCTCCAGTCGTCTTGACTTTTGTTGCCACTGGATTTCAGTGACTCTGGAAGACAGAGTGAGGCTGATGACTCTGTGAAGCTCTGTCTCTCTTAAATCCAATTCATTCACAAGTCAAGACATCACCCTGTGATGTCACTGGTCTTTTATCAAGGACAAATACTCAGAACAGCATTCAGATTATCCATGGTTTAACTTTTGATTTTCATACATGACTGGCACCCTCCTTTTCTGATTATGTATCTTTTATGACACTTTTTATGCCCAGTTATCTCTCCACTGCCTTTTGGGTGATGTGCAATTAGATTTTTCAGAGATGATTCATACAGACACATGGTATCACTGGAAGAATATTGTTTAAAAGATGAGCTTTTGTTTCCTGTAGAAATTTGGGGCCATTCAAAGTTCTGCATAGTTTTCTCAGTGCAATTTAGTTTGTTTATAGAATTCTTGGCCCAGATCACTGTCCATCTGCGATGTCTGTCCAAGATATATGTACCAAAGGATCACCTCTATGGTTCACCCAAAGGCACAGTATAGTCTGCACAATAGGCATTCTTTATCTACTTGGTTTTTCATGTATGTTATTAGGATGCCCCCTTGAGTGGGGCTTATGGCTCTGCAGTATTCTAGGTCTTGATCTAATCACTACAATGGCATCAGTAAAATAAGAAAATCTGGAGATACTAATTTATAAGGAAAGGCCACTTTCTTTGGACTCTTCAACACATCCTTTAATTTTCAGTGGCATACATCTATGACTAGTATACTTCTCCTTCTTTTGTGTTTTACTTGATATTTTAAAATTTTTATTTTTTTATTTTTTATTTTTTGGTGAGACAATCAGGGTTAAGTGCCTAGGGTCACACAGCTAGTAAGTGTCAAGTGTCTGAGGCTGGATTTGAACTCAGGTCCTCCTGACTCCAAGGCCTGATTGAACAAAGTTATTTTTGTTGTTGCATCTATTAGGTAATCACCTATGATCTTGACATAAATGACTGTTTGCAGCAACCTAGGCTAGTACTGTCATATAAACACTATGTATCCTATTGTCATTGTTCGTCCTTTGTTCTTTAAGAGGATCAATAACATGATGAAGATTATGTCTTGACTTGCATGTGAACTGGATTTAAGTGAGGTAGAGCTGCACAAAGTTGTCAGAGTAACTGAAGTCCAGTGGCAAGACAAAAACACTGGCAATGGCCCAGGATTCAGTGGGTGACCTTGGTCTTTCTAAATTAAAGTCTTTCCCAGGTTTTGGTTTGTCTGAGGCAATGCCCATTCAATGACTAAGGGCTAAGTAAGAATTGAGACAATTTACTGTCATAAAACTACCAGTCTTGGAGGGAAAGACTCAGAGTTTCTGTCCAGAAAAGAAAACAAATGCTATTTACACTCATTCTAAGCCATCAGAACCTAAACAAAGAGCCACAAGGGCTTGGTTTGGGGGCTATTATTGGCCATTCAGTGTATACCAAAAATGCCTTTTGGGTGACCTGAATGGATAAAGTGGCCTTGACTGTCAGAATATTAAAGTACATTGCATATTATAAATTGACCATTTTTCTCCAAAAGAAAGCGTTAGATTGGACATACCTCCTCTGAAAGTCTAATTGTGTGACCGGGGCTAAATCATTTAACCTTCTTGGGCCTAGTTTCTTTTATCTCTAAGATGAATGAGGGTGTGTTTGGCAGTGGTGGGCACATGTGTTTCTATGGCTCCTTTCAACTACATGTTTATGACTGAGAATCTACCTTTGAAACATCTAGTTTTGCAGTCAATCAACCAACATTTATTAGGCACTTACTATGTCCCAGGCTCTGTGCTAAGGGGATCCCAAGAAAGGGGGAAAAAAACCCCAAAACTCCACAACACAGCAAAACAAATAAACAAAAAAATTCTCTGCTCTAAAGGAACTCACAGTTAATGGGAAAGACAACATGGAAAAAGAAGTGGTCAAATAGGTACAACCAGAGGAAAATAGAAATGTGCAATAATTTCATTTGTCACATTTGTCATCTCATTTCAGCAAGTATTTTGACATGTAAGTATTTTGATATTTTTGCATAAATATTTTTCAACTTTATTATTTTAAAATGTGTGTCATTTTGGTAGTTGTCACAAAAGGGGTTTCACATGAATAATAGAAAAAGAAAGATTTCTAAAAGTAATTATTTTTAAATGTATAATCCAGGCAAATGAAAATATGCTGCCCAATAGACATGCATTACACTTTCCCAGCTTTTTTCAATGCTTAGAATGTTTCCTTTCATCATTCATCTGCTGAATTCCTTCCCCTTCCTTTAAGTCCAACTTAAATGCCATCACATGTTGTTGGTAATGATTTTCTCACTCAAATCTCAAATAGAACTTTGCTTTGTAACTCTCTAATGTATTTAATGCAAAATTATTGATGACAACTCTCTGTGTTGATGAGTATCTTATCCCCAACATGTATTATAAGCTACTTGTGGGCAGGGTTCTAGCTCTTAGCACAGTGCTCAGTACACAGTAGAAGGAAATATTTGTTACAGTTTGTAAATTTCTTTTTAGATCAACTATTCTGAAGCTTAATCTATATTTTAAATGATTTTAATGGGAAAAATTATTTTCCCATGAAACAGATGAGCTAATAATAAAAATAAGTATTCAGAATTTTGATGTGTGAAAGTTATTAGCAAAATTTATTAAGTTAAATGCATGTCTCCTTATAATAAATACTGTTATAATAAAAAAATTCCACTCTTTACAAGAAGAACATACCAATATTCAATACTTGTTAATATGGTACAATTTCAGTAGTTTGAAAACTGATTTTTCCTTGGATTTTTATCGCAATGAAATTATTGTGTTGAAAAAATTAAAAATGGTTGTGAAAAAACTATGAAGGTGTAACTCATAGGAGGAATCTGTATTTGTTAGCAGTTTGGGGATGGTCAAATTATTTATATCCATTAAATAATAAATGTATATTACCTTTTTTTAATCAAATTGACAAACAGCAGTAAAGACATTAAATATTAAGTTTTTCAGGTGTACATTTTATGCATGTGCTAAAGCTTTCAAATATATGCACATATTAAAAACTGAATACTAAGATTAATTTCCCAGTGTCCCTGTTTAGTAACTGAGAGTATGCCTCACTATTTCTTTGTTACCAGTATACCACTTAGCCAGTATATTACTATTTATGATCAAATGACAATCTTTTTCCTTCATTCCTAAAGCATTCCCAAATATATCAATAAGATGTATGTTAAATGATTCAAGAGGCTGCTTTTAGTGAGTTGCAATGTATTAAGTGGGCTAAATGATAGTACACTGCTGCCTAGCTTTTGAAGCACCTTAATAAAAAAAAGTGTGCATTGTATTGAAAGTGGTATTGGTGTAGGAACTAATAATCTCCCTAAGCATTTCATTTAGTACCAATGACTAAATTAAGCACTTGAGAGAACAGATCATCCAAAAGCCAGCATGGCTTCATCAAGAACAAGTCATGCCAGAATGACTCATTTCCTTTTTTAATGAGGTTACCAAGCTGGTAGACCAGTCAACCAATAAGCAATTATTAAATGCCTACCAGGTACCAGGCTCTGTAGTAAGCATTAGATCAGGAGAATGCTGTATACTTTACCTAGATTTCAGCAAAGTATTTAGCATAGGCTCCTATACTATCGTGAAAAAAAAATGGAAAAAAAGCTATGTTCAATGACAGTACAGTTAGGAAGATGGTTTAATGATTGGACTCAAAGAGTGGTCAATGGGCAAATTGTTAATTTGGTGGGAGGTCTCTACTGCAGTTTGCCAAGGATCTGAGCTTTCCCAACATTTTTATCAATGCCTTGGATGAATGTACAGATGGTATATTTATCTAATTTGTAGTTGATGAGAGTCTGGGCTCCCAGCTGAGTGAAGATCCAGATAAAGATCTTGACAGGCAACATTGAACTGACTCTCATATGAAATAGGGATACATTTGAAATATTACAAATTAATTCTCTTAAACTCAAATATAAGATTGGGTATATATATACTTGACTAGGCAATATTTCTTGTGAAAAAAGTCTGAGGTTTTTTTTTCTTCTTCTTTTGGTGTACTACCAAATCAATATGAAGCCGCACTGTGAGACTGCCCCCAAATTAATGCTGCATTGAAAAGCAGTTTCCCTGAACAAAGTGATAGTCTTATCCTACTCTGCACTGGTGAGAATACTGTGTTCACTTCTAGGCTCCATATTTTAGGAAGGACATTGACAAGTCAGAGTACATCCAGAGGAAGGTGGACAGGGTGATGAGGGGACTAGAGGTCATGGAGGGATGTTAACTAAGGGATCTGAAGTTATTTAGTTTGGAGAAGAAATAAAATGAAGGGGTAGACAATAGCTGTCTTCAGGTATTTTATGTTGGAAGAAGGAATAGATTTCTCAACCCCAGCCGATAAAATCAGGAAATGATTGGTATAAGTTACAGTGGAACAGATTTTTAGCACTACTTGAGGAAAAACTTTAAAATTATAATGGGAAGCTCTGAGTAGTAGTGGGGTTCCTCTTACTGAAGATTTTCAAGTACAGCTGATACTGGAGAAGCAATTGTTTTTAAGCTAAAGACTGGACTCACTAAATGGACTCGGAAAGCCCTTTCCAACTTTTTTATTCTATGAAGTTTTAGTTATTGGTTTTTGTAAACAACCATACCAAAGTATTCCATTTAAAAATAATCTTATTTTTGTAAATATATTCACGTTCCCTTCATCCTTTATCTTTTGCTTAGTTTGAATGTATTATCATTCTTTAAAATTTGATTGATAAATATTATTACTGGTGGTAATGGGGTAAGCTCCCAATTTTTTGCTGACTTAATTTGGTCTTTAATACTTCTACCTCTTAATCCTAAGTTATTTTCCTTGTGATAAGAGTTTTTTTTCTCAATTACTTGCTAGTACCTTTTAGTTAAGTTTGACAGGTTGTTTAGCTATATTATGTAAGAAGGAGTGACTGTGACTGATTTCCTCAGGAAAAAACACTGTGAGATACTGTAGTATCTTATTTACCTGATATCATGGGGAAAATGAGATGTCCCACACAAACAGATCTTCCATCTGACTGAAGTTTACTTTGAAGTATCAAAATATTAACAATTAAAACTATTCTTTATGAAAATCTGTCTAAAATATATTACCTATTCCCTTACCTCTCAGAATATAATGAACACAAATGTTTTCATGATCAGCATTATAATCTTTATCATCATCATCTTCAATCATTATTACAGTGCTATAACATAGTAATACTTTCAGGACTTCTAAGGTATATAGGATGCTGGTCTTTTATACTCTTCCTTCCACTAGCAAGCTGCCAACAGTCACTTTTGGATGCTGTTAGAGACTCTGCTTTTACTAGATTCTTTTATAATTTGCAGCCTCTAATCTGTTGTAGGTTGGGTACTTGATGACTGTTTGTTAGAATTATATGTGATATCACTGACTTAAGTCAAGTTGACTTTTTCAGGAAGTAAAATATGTAGGTTTTATTGTGCCTGGCTTCGTGACAGCTGTTTTTGTGTGCAGAGGCCTTTTTTCTCTTACTCCCCACATAAAGGCTGTGTTCTGGATGACTGGAGTTATTAGAAGTTGTGACTTTTAGTGAGAGAGTTGTGACTGTGTATAGTCAGCTTAGTACCACTATATACTTTGCCAATGATGCATAACAGTAATGAAATTTTGTCTACAATTTTGGAGCTATACAAACCATATAATAAATTTGAATTACCTTATAAATAATCTTTAAAAGGTCCATTTCAGTAAATAACTTTCCAGCATTCTCGTGAAAAAAATTAAGGATCTGACGTTCCCGTGCATTTCTGTGAGCAATGTATTCTCGAATTTTAGCTTCAGGATCATTGATGACTGGGCCATGTCCTAAATTAAAATATATTTACAAAACACAAACCATTTAGATAAAAAGAACTTATTTATTCAACCAATTTTAAAAGAATTTTAGATGTCCTGAAGCAACCTATCATAATTCTAAGAGATATGAATCTTTCTGACTGCTATAAAATTGTAATACATTTTAAAGGATAATCTAAAAGAATAGAATTATGGTAAAGTAAAATATGTAAAAATGTACTTAAGCACATTAAAAGCAATAAATATAGAATGAATAATGAGAATGTAAGATCATGTTTCCTATCAGTGACTGAGATTTGTTAAAATAACTCATAAGGCAATACCTCATATTCGAACTTTACTAATTTAGAAATTTGGATAGTTCTAAGCAATTTGGTATTTGTTGTGTTTCATAAACCATTTCTAAATAAAGGAAACAAATTAATTGGTTACACAATAGACTATAGGAAAGATGTTTAAAATATTTGAGAACAAAATATTTTCAAAAGGCCTAAATCACAGATGTACCATTTCTATATTAATAGAACAAGTTGTTCTATTTATTAAAATAGGCATAGTCTAAGCACCAACTCATTAACCTAGTTTGAGTTCTTTAGGAGGCAATAAGACACTTCTTTATAATATTCTCTAATTCACATTAACTTTCCTCTCTATTTGTTTCAATGAGTGTAGTTTTCCTATAGCATTAAGATGTAAAAGAATACATCCAAGATAAAAACTAACAAGTGAATATAATGTAGTATGCAGGTTAAAATGCATGATTGGTTTAAAAAAGTGACATTTTAAAAGGTAATGAAAAACAACCTATTTTCGGAGAAAATACCATCCCTCCATTCCGAATAGCAAGAAATTGTCCCCCAAATAGGGATGTAGGTAGGAAGAGAATAAATAATTGCTTTCAATAATTATAAATCTCTAGGCTCAGATGAATTACATCACCAGGCACTAACTGGCAGGTGTTATTGCTGAGTCACTCCCAGGGATCTCTGAAGATGGTGGCAATCAATACTACAAGCCTGAAGGTCAAATTCTGCACCAAATGAGAGAGAAAGCATGAGAGTGAGAGTGAGTGAGTGAGAGAGAGAGAGAGAGAGAAAGAGAGAGAGAGAGAGAACGAACAAGAGAATGGAGTCTGCAAATGACAAACCACTAACTTGACTTCAATTCCTGGCAAAATTCTGTCATGTATTAGGATCAAAACAATCCAGTATGACTTCATCAGGAATGGGTCATACCAAATTATCATAATTTACTTTTTTTTTTTTTTACTTTTTTTTGGTAAGGGTTAGAAGATACAGTTTACTTAGATTTTAGAAAAGCATTTAACAGTCTCTTGTGCTATTCCTATGGAAAAGACAGAGAAATGTGGGCTAGAAGTTATTATTAATGATTCAAAGTCTGCTTGGAAGGTCTCTAGTGGCGTGTCCCAGGAATCTGTAGTAAGGTGGGTGGCAGAGTGCAGGATTTGGAGTCAGGAAGACTTTGAATATTTATTAGCTGTGTGATTCTGGGCAAGTTGCTTAAAGTCTGTCTGTCTCTGTTTCCTCATTGGTAAAACAAGGATAATAATTGCTCCTAATTCCAAGTGTTGTTGTGAAGATGGAATGAGATGATATATGTCAAGCTCTCCGCAAACCTTAAAGCCTTATGCAAATGTTAACTATTTTTATTATAATCTTGGGCTTGTGATAAATGTCCAAGACACGTCATCTTTATCAACGACTTGGACAAAAGCTATGATGGCATGCTTATCAAACTGGCAGATGACACAAAGCTAGAAGGGACAGCTAACACGCTGAATAAAAGAGTCAGGGCCCAAAAAGGTCTTGAAAAGCTAAACACAGGATGGAATGTAATAAGATCAAATTTAATAAGGATCAATATAAAATCTTAATCTTGGGTTCAAGAAATCAACTTCACAAGTACAATATGGAAGAAGCATCAGCAAGCAGTGGTTTATGAGAGTAAAAGTTCAACATGAGTTGACATTATAATATGATAGCCCCCCAAACATGCAATTTTAGATTGTTTAAGAGAGGTATAGTATTCATGATTAGGGAGGGTGGTGACAGTGCTATTGTATTCTGACCTAGTCACACCACATTTAAAATACTGTGTTCATTTTTGGGTGCCAAATCCTAGGAATAATGTTAACTTGGAGAGTGTCCAGAGGAGGGTGACTTGAATAGTGAAGTCATTTAAGACATGAAGTTCAGATAAAGGAATTATAGATGAATAGGCAATTGGGGTTAAGTGACTTGCCCGGGGTCACACAGCTAGTAAGTGTCAAGTGTTTGGTCTGAGGTTGGATTTGAACTCAGGTCCTCCTGACTTCAGGGCCGGTGTTCTATCTACTGGGCCACCTAGCTGCCCCCTAAAGAACAGAAATCTTAGGGGGCTATGTCAGCTATCTTCAATTATTTGAAAGAGGAAATCCACCTTTCTGTCCCGCTCCACAGGACAGAATAGGAGGAAGTTGTAAATAGGCCAGTTTTTGCTTGATAGACGGAAAAATTTCAACAATCAAAGTTGTCAAATGCAGAATGACTATCTAGAGACATGATGATGTCACTGTCTCCCAGTAAAGGCTATAGGACGAATTGTTGAATAGGTAGAGGAAAGTCTTGTTTAGATGTGAGCTATGCTAGATGGACTTTTGAGATCCCTTCCAGCTTGAAGATTATTGTGTAAAAGGGACTTACCAGAGTTCCACAGAAAAATCTTTCATGTAAATGAGTTTGTATAAAATACTTACTAGAAATAAGCAATGAAAAATTTAAAAAGCATAGTAGCTAAGCTTCTGGTTTCTATTTTTTTTTTTTTTTAACAAAATGCATGTAGGTAACTCCATCATGTATAGTTACTAAGGAACCATTAATTTACCTTGTTGGAATGGTGACTATTAGAACTCCTTCCTTCCCTAATTTGGGAACCCCTGCTTCGTTTTCCCTTTTCTTTCAGCTCGCTTCTAGAAGCCTGAGGCTTCTATATCCCAGTTTTGTGCAGATCCATGACAGGGTCTGAAGTAGCTGAATAAGCAGTAACCGCAGGATAGGGGAAAGAGGAATGGAGTCTCCATTTTTTTCCAACACCACTGCTATTTCTCCAGCCCCAGCACACATCATCACAGACTCAATGTCCTGGTCTGCCCTTCCCCATTCCAACTCTATCAACTACGTTCCATGCCTGGCCTCATCTTGCTCTTCTGTCCAGAGCCCTTGACCTAAGGTTGACTGTTCAGGAGAGGTTGAGTGAGGTAAATTTTTTAAAGTGAAATACTGATGACTAATGCTTTAGTCTTTTTTTTTGTATCCAAAGACCTCATTTTAACATCTGTATACAATGAGAGAGATTCTCTTTCCCCCATCAAAAGAGGAACTCCATTATCCCATGTTTCCTTGTAATTTCTATCAAAAACAAACAAAAGAAAAACCTAAATACTTGTAGGAAGCCTCAAATTGACTATATGTTTCCTTCAGGATTGGGAAAATAGGGGAAAAATTATAAGTTGCATTGTATTCTATAAAGGATTAGGGGGAAGAGAAATCCCATTTGGAAATAGATGGTGACAGTTAGGATCTTTGAAAGAAAAGTAAGGGAGGGGTATGGTTCCAAAAGACTATCCAAAATTGTTGAATAGCTCCTCCAACAGAGCATTATGAGCCCATTCCCTCACAACCCCTCCCACAATTACTATTTTGAAATCTTAATCTATATGTATAGGAACTACTGCAGCATATTTTTGTAGTGTGAAGAACTGGAAACAAAATAGTACCCATCTTTTGGGTGAAAAGCTGAACAAATTCTCACACATGAATGTACTATTACTGTGCCATGAGAAATGGCAATGTATTGACTCAGTGACCCCAGGCAACATATTTATTCTTTTAAGATCCTAAGTTGGAGAGGCTATCAATCTTTATTAGCAGAGGGAGTTTCTTGTCTAGCAGTTCCCTATGCTGATGAAATCCAGTCTTTGTAGTCTTACTCCCCTCTCCGTACTCCTGGACTCAGTAACACTGAATCAATAGTGACTTCCAAGAGATTCCTGGTGAAATCTACCTGCGAGCTCTGAGCAGAGAGGTAATGAACCAAGGATGCAGAATGAGATATGCATTCTCAGGCATGGCCAATGCTTTGCTGGATGATACATATTTGTTAAAGGTGGGTAGAGGAGAGAAGCTTCATCTTGTTAAGAGGTAATAGGATGGTAAGTTAGTAAGACAATCAGAGATGGAAATAAAAAGGCACAGAATGGGACACAGAGTAGCTCTGTTACTACCTTGCTGAATTTTATATATGCGTATATACATACTTTCTAAAAAAACAAACTGTACAAAACAGTTCAATTTCTCTAACAATTCTTTCTTGTTCTTCATATGTTGAAATATGTATTTGTTGATAATTAAGTTAATAATTAGTTTGTTGATAAGTTCACAATAAAACAAAAAAGTTCCTGGGGTTGAGGACAACTTGTTTTAATAGACAATGAAGTATGCCTGATATTGTCAGCCAATCAATGAGTTCCTTGTGTTCCATCAATTGCCAGCAAACAATGGCCCAAGCTCTATAATCTCATCTAGTTGACGGGGGAACTCCTCAATTTGATCAGGATCCCACATCCTATAAACTTATCAGGTTATTTAGGAAATTCCTCAATTTGATTAAGGTCTCCTCTGATTTATCCTCCTTAAAAGTAACTTGTAGGAAAAGCATATGGTGACAAATCTAAGCTGGTTCAGGTAAGACTGAGAGGGGAATTCTTGTATCCCGAGTTCCTAAAAATGAAAGTTCTTGCTTGAGTTCCTAAGAAAGCAAGAGTCCCTGAATTTGAGTCAGGCATTAGTCTTCTGGAGTGAAAACAGTTCCTTCACAGTATATTTCTCTGAGAAGGGGATTTCAAAGGAGAACTGGCCTTAAGCTGAAGGACTAAGTTAAGCCATGAGAGGCTAGGAAATCTTGGTAATTTTTCATTTTATTGTTATGAATGTAAAATGTTGTTTTGAAGTAATGGGGGGGTATTTGTTCAACACTCACACAAAGTGGCTTTACCTTCTGAAGAATGGGTGGAGTTGGATGAGGTAGAGGCTCATGGGATATCCGAACGTCTAATGTTCTTCATATTTGTTCTTGAGTTTATATCTTAGGCATTTTCTGTGGTGGATGACATATTGGATACTCATACACTACGTAATTTTGTGGGAGAGGAGCACTACCCACATTTAGGGAAACCTAGACTTGAATTATATCTAAGCTTTACTCATATTTTCTTGCAAGTTTTGTTTCAGGAAAGAATCAATAAACCAGAGAGAGAATCTGAGCCCGTAGGGTCCTCAGGACTAGACGAAGGCCTGTCAGCAAGGCAGAATGACCCCTGGAGCTTTGAGTGATATGTAAAATGAGAGGGTGGTCTAGATGACCTTTAAGATATTTTCTAACTCTCAATCTTATGAATTTCCTTTGGTATCTGTCCAAGAGTCTTTTATCTTAACATTATTTGCAGATTTTTATTGAGAGCAGGAACTGTCTCTTTTTGTATCCCCAGTATTAGTACAGTGCCTGGCACACAGTTCATGCTTACTATATATTGATAGAGTATAAAAACACTTGTTAGAGCTTATCTTCTTCCTCCTAAGTATTTTTAATTGACTTGTTTCTCCTATAACTATGGTTATTCCTTCTACATCTTTTGGATTACTGCATTGATGAGCATTCTAAAGGTTTCCAGGTTTTCCTCTATAATGTTGTCAGTGTATAAAATATTCTGCTCCCTTTGCTCTGCACCAGTTCACAAGTCTTCCTAGCTTTGCTGTAATTGCCCATTTCATCCTTTCTTGCAACATAAGTATCTGCGTAGCTACTCCCTGGGAGGATGCTGCTCCACAGTCTGATACTTTGGGAACTTGCAACAAGTTGGTCTTTCTCCTTTCCGTTAACCTTTTAACTGCTCCTTTCCTTGCTTGTTTCTTGTCCATTGTCAGTAGCAGGAGAATCACAGGGCATTTCAGGGGGTGGCAGAAACTATGCTTCTTAGTAACTGTTTCATGAAAGCCCTGTTTAAGAATAAGATCCTATCTTCTTTATCTTCTAGATCATTTCTGTAAGAATTCCCTTTCTCCCAGTCTTTAAGATAAAGGGAAAATAGAGTTTTAGACTTGTTTGGTGGTTGACATACCTATGAGACAAACAATGGGCTTCTTTTTGTAGGGGTTGAGAGTAACTTATAGATTTTTTTTTACAGGTCATAGCCCTCACAGTCACTATGTGTGGTGGCAAGACATGTTATTATTCCATATTACAGATGAGAAAACAGATGCTCAAAGAAATTAAGTAACTTGCTCAAAGTTGCAGATCTGAATAAGTCTCCTGACTCCTGATTTAGCTCTCTTTCTGCTTCATTTTATAAAGCCCTAGAGGATTTATGGAATCAAAATACCAGAAAAATATTTATTTAAGCCAGACTTCTTAGCAATGTTAGACTTTTTCCCTTGTACTTTTTGGAAAATGACAAGAGCTGTTCAGTATTTTTATCAATATATTATAACCCTCTTATGCTTGTAGAAAGATATTTACTTACCCCTCAGACTTCTTTTTAGATACTTTTAACAAAATGGGACATTCTTATGGATGGAATTGAATAAAGTACATTTATTATTGTATATCTTTAAAAAACTTCACCCCATTACCTGACAAATGGGTACCCAAGTTGAAACTAGTTGCCTACCTGGGTATATCAGATTAGGTTTAACCTTTAATAGCTTTTCTAAGGAATTCATGTAATCATAAAGATCTTCAAATATTGTTGTTCCTTCTCCTAGAATGCAGTCTCCAGAAAAGATAGCATTTTCCTCTTCTAAAAGTAGAGCCATATGATCATCAGTGTGTCCAGGTGTGTATAGAATTCTGGTTAAGAAAAGAAACAAATAGTCATAAGCAATCATGGCACCTTAGAGTTAGCAGCAATAATAAGAAATCAACTAATACACACCCTTGTCATCAGGAAAGGCCAAAAAAACTACCTTCTTCTAAAGGTGGCAGTTATACCATTACCTGGAAAACCCCTTTGGGGATGAGCAACTGTCACCATCCAAAAGAATCAATTGCATGTGGTATGGGGAATGTGGTATGGGGAATGTGGTATAGTAAACAGGGCATTGGACTTTCACCTTAGACATTTAGTAGCCTTGTGACTTGGATAAGTTACTTAACCTCTCTGGACCTCAGCTTCCTCATCTATAAAATAAGCAGGTTGGACATCTATGAGCCTAAGATCTCTTCTTTTACTCAATGGTTAGTGCTAAGAGTGAAACATACTATCTTTGCCCTCAAAAGGCTTAAAATGATAATAGCGTTTAAATAGCATTTTAAAGTTTGCAAATTACTTTTATCTCCTTTTGATCTTCACAACCCTGTGAGGTGAGTACTATTATGCATACTTCACAGATGAGGAAACAGGTTGAAAGTCTAAGTGACTTGACCAGGATCACACTGTTAGTAAGTATCTAAGGCAGGATTCTATCTTTCCCCTCCTGGTTGTGCTGACTCTTAGGACTTTGATACCACAACAAAGCTACCTTCTCACTGGAGTAGTACAGCATGCCAGTCCCCTTCTACCCCTGGCAAGTTCTTTGTGGAGCCTCCATGGGAAGGTTCTGCTTTGTTCCCTTCCTGACTGTGTGGTGCTTCTCACTCAGGACTTTTGACACCAGTCCCATGAGTACTTTCTTTCCTTTATATGTATCTTCCATTAGAAATGGAACTCTTGGAGAACAGGGACAGCCCAGTGCCTGCACACAGTAGCACTTAATAAATGCTTGCTGCCCGTCTGGACTACCTCAGGTCTTTCTGACTTCAAATTCAGTACTCTGTCCACTGCAACACCTTGTTGACTAATATAAGATTGTGTCTAACATAATCTGTATCTTATTGTTGTACCATTAATTTCATTTTGATAAATCCTCAGTATAAATTCTGACTACCTAGTCCTTATTCTATGTAAGAGCAATACACATATGTTTATAAGCCTCACTACACATCTATTCACAACTGTCTTGGACCTCATCCAAAGTAGCAAAGTACTGAAGTATGTAAAGTACCACTGTGCTATATAACAGTCCCACACAAAGGACACTAAGGACAGCATTAGAAGGCTCTTGTGTGTGTGGCTAAAAATCAGATTGTCCTTTGATCTTTCTGCTTGGTTAAACTGTTAAGTGGGTTTAGTTAAGATATCCTCTTCACCTCAGGGCTACATATACACACACTATATATATATACTTTATGAAAATATTAAAGTATATTTTATTCAGCTAAGTTACTTAGTTTAAAGTATATTTTATTTAGCAAAGTTACTTAGTTTAAAATCAAAATACCTTTAGTCATCTTTGAAAACATTTAATTTTACTATAACTAGACAGGTATATATACATGTGTGTAAGTGTGCATATATACACATATATACATATCTATATATATATACATATCTTTATCTATCCAACTATATCTATCTATATCTCTATATATATTTAATACCCCTCCAGGGCCTCATCTTATTGTGGAATTGTCCCTGATTTGTTGAAGGTATGGCAGTAGAGTCTGTGATCTAGTAGATTCTGCCAAACTGGAAAGGTTTTAAATGTGGGCCAGATGAAAACACTGTTCCTCTCTCAAAACCCAGCCTGGGTTGGAGAGGCTCATTACCGGATGGTTGGCCACCAGGTGATGAATTTTCTTTGGTCACAACACCTCAAAGACCATTTTATTTTTCTTTTTAGGCCATTGGGGTTAAGTGACTTGCCCACGGTCACACAGCTAGTAAGTGTCAAGTGTTTGGTCTGAGGCCAGATTTGAACTCAGGTCCTCCTGACTCCAGGGCCAGTGCTCTATGCCACCTAGCTGCCCCTCAAAGACCATTTTCTAAGATTTTACAGGCACCTGAACAGATGAAATAACACATCTTTTAAGTACTGAAGTTAGCTTCTTAATGACTGAATTTTTTTGAGCATATAATTACAGGTTGTTAGGATTCCTATGCCAAGACCACCCTTCTCTTTTCACTCCTCTTTTTTTTTTTAAATTATTAGGAGACACCCTGTTTTGCACAGCTAAGGCCCAGCAAGCAGGCTGTGCCCCAGGCTTGGCATAACAACAATCCTTTGCGCTCACCCGTTGGATGAACTCTGTTGTAGCAAAATCCCAGAATTGTTTCACATCAGCCCCAAGTGGTCCCTGAGCTTGGACAAGTACCTGCAGGAACCATGTTCTGGTCATGAAACCCTGCTATGAATCAAGCTTTTTGCTCGTTTTTGCTGTTACACCCTCACTGCCACATCTATAGCTCACTGCATAGCTGCTGCTATATGTATCAAGTTCTGGCCTCGCTGTGGGGGGAATCTCCTCAGTATCAGAGCAGATCTCAGCACGTGTCTAGTTTCTCTCCACCAATGGAATCAAGAAAAAATTTTGCTTATAACTACTGTGAGCTCCTTTTTTTTCTTTTCCCAGAGTTAGCAGCAGTTGTATAACCTCTGTGGCTCTTCGGTCATTTATTTTCTGTGTTTGACAACATTCACATAATACAAAAAAATTCAACATTTAGTTTGCTCAATTAAAAAAAAATAAAGGTTCAGATAAAAAACATCTACCATTTGTCTATAATTCTCTTAACCTTTCCAACCAAAGTATGAACAAAAACGTATTTTTATTCTTGGCTTTTTAGTACAACACTAGCGTCTTGTCTGTCAGACCCCCATTTCTAACTGTTTACACAGATATTTTCATTTCACACCCCAAATATTCAAAACCAAATTCAACATATTTTCCCCCACACCTCTCCCTACTCCTGACTTTCTGTATCATCTATTTCTGTTAATAGCATTATTATTGTCCTAATCATTAAGACACAACGATCTGAAGCTGCCTGTGACTTATTCCTCTCCTTCTGGGATTAAATTAGTTTTCAAGTCCTGTTAAGTCTACTTTTATACAACCCTGTGCATTGTCCTTCCTCTTTTAAGGTGATTAATGGGCTCTTTGTTTTCACCCTCTTTTAACTTTCTTCAGCTTCTGATCATCCCCATTTCTTGCAATAACCCTGACTTTCTGTGACACTGCTTTCTTTTGTTGGTTTTTCTGGCTTATCATTTACTTTCTGCACCCTAAGTGTGAATGTCCCCCCAGGTCTGGCTCTGGGACCTCTTCTCTTTCAATACTCTCTTCGCAATCTTACTCATTCCAATGGTGTCAATGATTGCATTTATGCAGATGAATTCTAAATTCATCAAAGTTTAAGGTTCTTACTTGAACTCCAACTATCAGATGGTCATCTTTACACGTATTTCTCTCCTGCTCCTCAAATTAACCATGTCTAAAACCAAACAAATTATCTTCCCACCCTAAATAATTATCTCCTCTACATTTTCCTATTTCTGGTGATGGCACCATCATTCTCTTAGTCACTCGATGAATTTTACTCCTATTTCCATTACCCTCTGTCCAATCAGTTGCCATGGCCTGTTGTTTCTTTTACTGTATCTTTTGCTCTATCTTTTACTATACCTTTACTATATCTTTTGAATCTCCTCTACTCACATTCCTGTCATGCTATTTCAGATCCTTATTGTCAATCTCCTGGACTAATGTTAAAGTTTTATAATCTTCCTGATTCCAGTCTCTTTTCTCTCTCTCATTCAAACAGCTGCCAAAATAAGCTTCCTAGGACACAGCTCTGATCTGATCTCTGTTCTGATCAGAATCTTCTATGACTTCCAGGATAAAACAGAAGTTTTGTTTGTTTTTGCCTGGCATTTAAGGCCATCTAGAATGTAATTCCAACCTGCTTCATACCATTCTCCTGTATGTATTTTACTCTCCTGACAAACTACTACCATGCAGACCATCCTTCATCCCTGGAATGTATTCTCTTCTTGTGTCTGTCCTTGCCAGTCTTCATATTCTTTCAAAGCATAGATGACACCTTTTCCTAATCCTTCCCACATAAAAGTATTCTCTCTCTCCTTGAATACTCCTAGAAAAGTGTTCTCTGCTTTGTCCTTTCATTTCCTACTCTGTACCATACTGATTTGTATATATGTCATATCCTCCCATAGATACTCTTTGGTTTGGTCTTTGTATCTCCAGGGCTTAGAACTTGTGCCTTGTACTTAGTAAATACTTAAACCCTTGTTCATCTGAACTGACTCCATTTCTACAACCACCAGCATGAGTGTAGTGCCTTATTCTCTCTCACTTGCACTATTATAATGGCCTCTTAACCTCTCTCCGGTTTGTTTACTACACTACAATCTATCCTGTACATTGCAACCAAATTACTCTTCCTATTAAACAACTTTCTGCCCTGCTTTAAAAAAAAAACAAAAAACCTTCATTAACTTCTTATTACTTACCAAATAAATACCAAACTCCCTAACTATTTCAAGCAAGGAAAGCCTTATATAATCTGCCTCCAATGCACCTTTCCAACCTTATTGTCCAATACTTTCTTCATTTATTCTACACTCTAATCAAACTACATTGCTTGATGATTCCTAAACATAGCTTGCAATTTCCTTCATCTGCTCAAACTATACCCTGCCTACTAGAACTTGGATGCCTTCTATCTTCATTGAAATATCATTCACTCTTCAAGGTCCAAGTCAAATGTTATTTCTTCTAAGCTACACTGCCTTCCCTGCTCCCTACCCCCTTGCCAGGAGTATTCTTTTCCTTTTCTGAATTCTTACTACATTTTACATTGTTGTACATAGGCATAAATTTAGAGCTGGAAGGGACCTTAGGGATTGAGTTCAGCTTCCTTATTTTTCAGACAAGGAAAGTGAGGTCCTTAGAGGTTAAGTGACTTGTCCAGGGTCACAGAGCTTGTGAATGTCTGAGACTGGATTCAA